CTGGTTAATTTGGCCAATGTTTTTTTTTTTCCTAATCAAAATCTTTGGGATTTAGACATCAATGGTGACATGATGGGGTGACATATCCTTGATCAACGGTTTTTGTCCACTTAGAGCTCACAATTGTAAGTGGTGGGCTCAGATTTTGTCTATATGAATTTCATTAATTTAATTAATTTGTTTCTTTCAAGTTAAGATCACTAGTTAAATGTTTTTAGTTTGACACACCTTGTATGCGTGATCCACATGGTCGTAAATCTTAAAGTTGATCGCCTCTAAATTGTGGGTTTTAATTTTTATATTTTATATAACCCAGTGGACCGGTTGGACCGGATGATCTGTCCTGATCCCCCGAGGAATCAGGAATGTCTCAGAAACTGGAAGCAGAAAAAGTATTGGGGTTTTTATTAGATTCCTCCAATGGACCAGTCAACCCGCTGGTTAAACCGCAGATATACATATAATTTTAATTAACCTGACCTGTTTTTGGATGCTGATGCTGCCCAGGTATGCCAAATTTATATAATCCGGTTAGAAAAGCATTTGCCATCCTGATTATGTCATGTTTTTGTTTTTGGATGCTTTTATCATCTGATGTGCTTGGCTAAACTGTTAATTTGTACTTGATTATAAGAGTTCAACTAGTTGCATTCATTAATATTGATTGTATATGTTAAATTCAAATTTTAACAAATCATATTAAAGTATGTTTATTTTTTATTGGTTTACATTTCATAAATTATACATTCACATTTGATGACATTATACACCATAGATTTTGCTATAATTGTAATTGATGAATTTGCTCCTACACCTACACCTGAACCTGAAGTAAAGTTTGGGGTTTGAAAAAAAGGGTAAAATATAAAAACTTCCCTTAAAATTTTTGATAATCATAAAAACTTTTATATAATTTCACTTTAATAAAAACCACCCCTGAACTTTTAAAAACTTCCCTTCCCTTCCATCGTTAACCGGAATAAAAATGTTTAACCAATGCATAATTTTTTTCCAAATACTCATTTTACCCTTTTTTAAAATGGGTACTGAAATACTAACCAGTGACCAGTGAAGAATGGATTATGCCAAATCAATAACAATCGCCAGTGATAGTGAAGAACAGTATAAATGAAGATTATGAGGCCATTAATCTCATCACTTATCAATAGACTCCTCTCTCTCTCTCTCTTTGACTCCATTTTTCAAACTCGCAGAGAGAAAAATCTCCGTCAAAAATAGGCTCCGATTATACAAATTTAGATTTTGGAGCACCGCATTTCACAGGAATATAGATTGTGCGCTATATCCTCAAGGGTTGTCGTTTTAATCACCTTAAAACTTATATTCTTCTTTATTGCTAATTTGATTTTCGATCTCCACTCCATCTCCCTGAATTTAAACTTCATTATGTCAATTCATTCGTTTTCGGTTCCCTTCTTCATTTCAGGTTTCCTCATAAACTGTGATGCCACCGCAGACTCCAATATCGACGGCCTATCATGGGTCCCCGACAACAAGTATGTCTTCCCGGGGGTGCCCAAATCAATGATTATACCTGACAACCCCTACTTTGTCTGGACTCTCTCCACCTCCCTTTCTCTCTTGAAGGTTGTATTCATCGGAAATTCTGCTACGTTCTGTCGGTTATCCACAATGTTAAATACCTTGTACGGACCGCATACTTGTATGGAGGAATCAACGGTATAGGTTTGCCTCCAGTTTTTTATCAGAGAGTCGGTGGGATGTTCTGGAGCATTGTGAACACGATGGAGGATTACGCTACAGGGAGATGGTCTTACTATAAAGGAGTCTTTGTTGCTGTTGGGAAAACGATGTTCATTTGTGTTGTTGGAAATACGTATGGATTAAATTCTATTTTTTTTTTTTTTATGCCTTGGAAGTTGTTTGTTTGGATATTAATTTTCTATTTTTTTCCCTTTTTTTGTATTTTTGAATTTTCAACTCCAGATTCCCTGATGACAAATCTGATCAATATTGGGAACTATTTGGAGAGATCAATCCTACAATACAAAGCCCTAGAAGAAATCTCTCAGTTGGAATGTTCCACCCTCAAAGCTCTTTTGTTGAATTTTTTAAAAATTTAAGGGAGGTTTTTATTAAAGTGAAACTATAGAAAAATATTTTATGATTATCAGAAAGTTCAAGGGAGATTTTTGTTATATAATTAAGATATATACAGATCAGTCCACTTGAATTAAATATAGCAAATTTGGGCGAATAAAGAAAATGAAATCTATAATCAATTAATGGTGGATTGGAGTGTGAATAAATTGGTAAAGATTAAGGAATGAAGGCTCAGTTTAGAAAGAGTAGAAATGCAAATACATGCAAAACAATACCACATACAAAGTCTTGCAATCTACATAATTGTATTTGTAAAGTCTCAATTTGAAAAGAGCACGAAAGTGTAAATGCATAGAAAATAATACACGGATTTACACTCTACATATTTGTTTGTATTTTATACTCCTTCCAAAATGAGCCAAAATGCCGAAATAGACTGAAATCGAATTGCTTAAGAAGCGTTAATGAGTGAACCTACCAACACCATTTGAGAGACTGAAACACCCTTAATTATCAGTTGAACCTACCAACATCAATTGAGAATGCTATGTTGGATACTTGTAAACTAAATCTAAACCCAGATGCTTCATGCTTTGTAGAGTACAAAAACATAATTGATACTTGGAAACGGGGAAATCGAAGTGAAAAGAGGGACTGAAACAAGGGCGTTCAATTCAATTAGAATAAAAAACAGAAAGCATAAGCTGAGGTTCTGATAATCACAACGTGACTTCATTTGTCTTCGTTTTAATTTGAAAGAGACAAAGACTAAAGAGTCCTATCTTGATATGGGGATGTTGTCGCCAGATGATACTACACCAACACCACACACTTTAGTAGTTTAGGTGGTCCAAATCCAAATAAATACAACTGGCCCTGCCCGACCAGCGGGCCGTGTGTTTGGCCGCTTGCTTATAATATGAGCTCCACGCCAGCTTTATCCATTCTTGTATTTGTGAAAGATGTTCTAAGCTGGCCAGCCGGGTTATTTTTGGAGTGGAGCAAATGGAAACTCCACCCAATTGAATTCGTTCGAGCCCAAATGAATGCTTAATGGTAGCAAGTGTAGATGGTAAATGGGCGGACTAACAGACAAACCTTTTATGGACCACTTAGGCTGCTTTTTGGATGGCTTGGCCTATTCCAGTCAGCAATACAAACATAAAGTAAAGAATGACGTGGTTAATTCGAACTGATAACAATAAAGCAGATGACCCAGTTATTTAAGGGAGGACCACGTGAAGGACTTCTACACCACATTCCATGCTGCCACACGTTCACGTAGAATAAATAGGATTTGAAGATCGTTGTCTAATAAAAAGCAGCCTTGTTTGAATCTCTGACTCTCTCAGAGAGAGAGAGAGAGAGAAAGAAAGAGAATTTTAAGAAGAATAGTTGAGTTGAGATGAGAAAGTAGCCGGTGCTAATTAATATGCAATTCCCACCACCCAATTAATTGTATATACTTTTAACTATTCAACCGACGTTTATGCTTTTTTATCCTGTGGACACAAATGACTTGTCAATAAATGATAACCACCTAAATGCCCCAAACACCTCCCCCTTATTATTCTGACAAGTGGAGGAATTATGTGGTGCGACCATATGATGAATAAAATTACTAATCAATTGCTTGCATATGGGCATGGGACCTTCTGGCTTGGCTATGTCTATGGCCTTCCATATCCTACATCAACCCCATCACATAGTATATATCGGAATTGTCTGCAAAAGTCTCAAAATAAAATTCGTTAAGAACTTTCCCTCAGTTTTCTGTTTTTATGTTATTTTCTATCAAGTCAAAGCCAAACATGTTAGGAAAATGTGGAGCTGTCAATTGCTTGCGATTGTATAAAGAAAACGTCAAAAAGGCAACCTTGCTTTCTGGATAAGCCATTAAAAACTGAAACTTAAATTGTTCATAACCATTGAAATAATACCTTAGTGAATCATGGATGGACGGTCAAAACTTTTAAAGCCTTTAAAAGCCTAAAGAGCCTTGGGCTCTGTTTGGTTTGCAGGAATAAGGGTATGGAATTGGAATCAAAATGGGCTATTTTGATTCCAACTGTTTGGTTGGACAGAATCGGAATCCCATTTCTATTCCTATTAGAATGACATTCCCTGCCCCTCCCTTGAGAATGAACTCCTATTCCTGCTGATTCCAATTCCCATTCCCCATTCTGACTTCAATTCCAAAAAATTTTGATTTCGGTTCTAATTCCAAACCAAACAGACCCTAATTCCATACTGATTTGCAGATTACAAATGCGGGCATACTGTACTTTATAGTACCATCGAAGCCATATATATTGGTAGCAAGGTTCAAAATATCGATACATCCGATATAGGGGCATATCAGGCGAATCAATACTATTTTTTTTTACTTTTTTACTTTTTTTTTTTTTCTGAAACCAGTTCAGGAGGCCGGTTTAGAGCTCCTCCACCCCCTGAACCGGTCAGACCCCCGATACACCCACTATAGGGGCGTATCAAAGGGGTCCTGGAATGATACGTATCAGCCGATACGGGCCGATACATGTCGATACTTTGAACCTTGATTGGTAGTAGCAAATAACTGAAGTCTAAAATGGGTGTCACCCCTCTATGAGGCGTCCATACGATTTCAGCATTCAACATAACAGAGCTGATTCATGGTCTGGTCTGTCTGGAGCAATTCAACGCTGTTTTCTATCTTGTATTGACACATTGACAATGATGTATCAATTGAAATTCACCCTGCACTCCATTCTTTTACGGACAGTATGCTCTTTCTATGATTGAACAAGAATATCAACTTTCCAACGCTGTTTTCCTTGGAATGAACTATGGAAGTTCTCATTTCATTAGCCAACTATGATTGAACAAGAATATCAACTTTCCAAGCCACTACACCAGGCAGCAATTGAAATTGGTTAGTAATCAATTCAAGGGGACTGAAAATCACACTACCACCGTTGTGAATGATTCATCAAGAAACATTGTAACACAATGGTCATACAAGTATGTGGAAATAAGCCTTTTCATAAGACAAGTGAGAAACCTCAGCCTCTAACTTCATGGCACCTGGTATCATAATGGGGAATGCATACCAATACAGTGGGAGTTGTGTAGTCAGTTCATTCTCATATAATAAAGTTCCACATACTAGCATTTTCCATATAACAATCTATACAATTAATTCATCTAAATAGACCATGGAAAAAATAAAAATCCTTCACATATACAAGGAAAAGCCTCTTTTAATATCAGGTTGGGACAACATCAGGTTCAAGCGGTGATGATCTGTCACCCTCCACACTCCCAACCTCTGTGGTCTGTCTACTCTTCTCATCTTCTTGGAACCCTTGTTTGAATCTGTCATAATTGGTGGGCTCGATTGACTTGAAAGGACGTTCCCCCAGTACTCGAACCAAGTCCTCTTGGTGTAGGACCTCCTTCTCAAGTAATAGCTCAGCAATCTGAGCAACTTGCTCCTTATGCTCCTCTATCAATTGAACTGTACGTTCATAAGCCTTGGCAACCCATTCTCTCACCTCATTGTCAATAATCGCTCCCATCTTGCTGCTATAGGGCTTTGTCATCTCAAATGTATCATCCCTTTGCGGGAAAGAGAGGAGACCTACTTTGTCACTGAAACCATAGACGGCTACTTGGGCATAGGTCATCTTGGTTACTTTCTCCAGGTCATTTTGGGCACCTGTCGAGATCTTTCCTAACAAAACCTGCACCAAAATGAATACAGGTTACTATAATAGATGAATGGTTCAAGCACACCAATACATCAAGATAATAATTTTTCTGCATCTCCCAGGATAGAAGCTAAAAAAAACGCTTGCCGGTTCCAGTTATTGCAAGATATTCAGATTCCTTTGGATTGCCTATGGAATAGGGTGGGTAGGTTTGGATTTGGGGACAGAATTGGGATTCTCAATCTTAAGAATCTTCGAATCCCATTATTTGGGTGCATTTCTTGGCACCATAGAGTTTGGTATAAAGAATAAATTTGTCACCATGTTTTGGCAGAATTCAAATGACACCTGGGGGAAGGCCAGCAGTTTCAAATCCATGGAATTGAGACAGGAAAAGAATTCAAATCCAGTTCTGCCATGTAATCCAAAAGATCACCGACACAGTAGGCATTTTTCCCGTTCATGACTCACATTAAAGTAGAAATTTTCTATAATTCTTTGTTGTTGCTCAGAAAAGGGAAAAGTAATAGAATCTTCAAAATCTGGGGCAGAAGAAGCTAGAAACTGAAAAGTGCTGTTTCCCACTAGTGCAAGATGTTCATATTCCACTAGGCATCCCGTTGGCTACTTACTCCTGAAATACAAGCAAGGCTAAAATGTTCAAAGTACCTGCTCCGATGCTCGGCCACCTAGGGTCATGCATGTCATGTCAAAGAGCTGCTCTTTAGTCATTAAAAGGTTTTCATTTGGAACATATTGAGCAAACCCAAGTGCTGCAGTACCACGTGGAACGATTGTTACTTTAAGCAAGGGTTCTGCATGTTCCAAGAACCACCCTGCCACAGCATGGCCTGATTCATGGTAAGCAACAGTCCGGCGCTCCAGTTTGCTTATAACCTGCTTGACCAAATAGGAAGGAAAGAGGCTGAAATAAGATTATTATGGGCAACATAAATGTGTTTATTTCCATTTGGCTTCTGGTACTAATACAAAGTATGGTTCAAGAGAAAAAGAGAAAGAAGAAAAGGGGAAATCTAACAGAAAGTTACATCACAACCTTCTCGAAGAGAATTTTCAAACATTAAATAATTCAATGTTGACAGAATTGGGAATTTTACGTATGGTAAATCCCTTTAACCAGCACCCTTTTGCTTAAAAAATTCGCACCTTTCTTGGATCAAAACCCTACAACCTCCTCAACTTCATAAACCAGACCCAAATCCTTTTGGTTCTTCCAAATGGGGGTATCATAGAGATTTGGCAAAATCTCCCTGGAATCCCCACATTTCACTAAGGGATAATACAAAATATTCCAAAAATATTTTTATCCCTTACACCTCCGATATACTGTTGATATATCAGGAATATTTCAAATTTCATTGATAAATTAAACATCTAAAATGTAAATTTGTAGAACATCAATGAAAATTCCAATATTTCATACAAATAAATAGCCCAAGATTTTTGGAAATCTTTTTCTGAAAGAACAAAAAGGATTTTGTGGTTAGATAACTCATTATTCTGAATGTGATTCACTTACTAAGTCACTATAATTCAAAAGAAAAGGAAAAAAAGAAACAATTGAAAAAAAAGGGTTCCCAAGATAATCAAAACACATAATAACAAAAGTGACTTTTTCTTGCATGGTAGGCAGCTTTAGGAAGATGTCTAACCAGACGCAACCTCATCAGAAGAGGAATGATTTTAGACAGCACATCATGCATATTATGTAATGAAGCCTTGGAAACTGTAGACCACATCTTTCTCCATTGCAGCTTCAATGATAAGCTCTGGAATTCCATCTATCAAAGTTTTGGGCTAAGTTTATGTACTCCTCATCCTCAATCTATTGAGTGTCTATTTAGAAGCTGGTTCCTTAGTGGTCTCAGTAGCAGAAGTTTCTTTGGAAAATATACCTTCTGTAATCATTAGGAGCAAAAGAAACTCCCGTATATTTGGAAACAAGGCAGGCTCAGATGATGTTGTTCTTGGACAGATAAAAGGAAACCTATCTCCTGGCTATCAATTCAAAAACCTTTTTCAAGGAATTCTTTTCATGTCTTTTTTTTGAAGCACACTTTTTGTAACAAGTGTCTTCTTTTCTTTTCTTTATTCCCAATGTATAGCTTCTTGATGCACATGGAGACTGATGTAATTTTTTTCTTTGTGAATCTTAATACAGTATCTCACTATTAAAAAAACATATAATAATAAAAAGAAAGAAATCATTGGCAAGTGAATGACTTGTGCATAGAAGAAAAGACGACTAAAAGACTAAAAGGGAGACAGAACCTACTTAAGTCTCTTAATCTTCTCTTACATGATATATAAAGTTTGTTATGGTTTTTTGAATCTTATATATGCAATTATGCTTCATCTAAATGATCTGTAAAGTCTTATTAACAATCTTTTTTTGTAGTTTTCTTTAATTTTTTGGATTTTACAAATGTCTTAATTTAGCAGAATAACCTCAAAATGTCCCCATTTTTGCATAGTGAAACATCCATCTGATATCAAAATTGTGAACCATGACTGGACAAAGCTTGTACAAGGATGCTTGATCTAAAGAATTACTAAAAGGATTGCATGTTGTTGGAAAGTTGAATCTAGGAAACACAAATCAAGTGCGAGTAGTGTGAATGGTAGTCCTCCAAAGCAAGGTATACATGTAATAGCCAAAGCCACAAAAAACATGTAGGTCATATCTGAGAAAGATGGAATACTTATAGGGGGCTTGAACCTTTTCCTTGTCATTTGTGGTCAAAATACAAACAGGATGCAGGCTCATCTAAGAATTTCAGTTTGGCCCTTGTAACTCATTAAGAGTTTTTTTTTTTTTTTTTTTTTACCACTAGGGTATTAAAAAATTACATCAGAACCCATGTAAAACAAGATACTGTATAATGGGAATGTATAAAGAGATTATAACAGCAACTTTCTACTGGTTACAAGAAAACCTCTTGTATCAAAGAAGGATTTATAAGAAACTCTCCTAAAGAGGTTGTCGACTGCCAACCATGAGTATAACGAGCCACTCATTTTCCTTGCTACTATTTCCTATAAGCACACTTTTCAAAAATTCATGTGTTCCTTTCACTCCAGATGGACCAAAACTTATTAGGAGTTGAGAAATTAAGTTTAAACAAAACTTACAGGTGCTAAACAAATAGAGTTTGGTTCCCTAGATCTTTTCTATAGTTTCTCTGTAACCTCCAGTAAATTATATGCTATTAAGTACAAATTAGTGTAGCATTTTTTTAGGAAAAGGTAATTGCTAATTAGAGTAAGATTAATGATATTGTAAAGCAACATGTATATTCTCCTGAGGAGAAAAAAGGATGTTGTCCAATGATTCTACATAAAGCAACATGATATTCTCCTTTGAACAATTAATGAAGTTCAATCATGATACAATTTGTTGCTCCTTGTTATTGTAGGGAAATTCCCATTATCTGATAGAGTGGGCAATGAATCTACATATTGACTTATGCAACAAAAAGAATAAAAAAGACTGGCAAGTCAGAAATAAGTTACCTTGTTTTTCTTCTCCAGACCACCTATTATCCTATCTATAGCTGCCTCAAAATGTTCCATTGCAATCTGTGATACCTCATTTCTTGCAGCAATTAAAGCAGCTTCATTACAAACATTTGCAATGTCAGCTCCAGCAAATCCAGGAGTGAGAGCAGCAAGCCGCTCAGAATAATATGATGGTTCGTGGTCAAGCTTGAGTTTTTTAAGATAAATTTGAAATATCTCTTCACGGCCTTTAATGTCCGGTTTATCAATGGTAATTTGGCGATCAAACCGACCAGGTCTCAACAGTGCTTTGTCTAAAATGTCAGGTCTGTTGGTGCCAGCAAGTACAACAACTCCAGAAGTAGTTCCAAATCCATCCATTTCTACAAGCAACTGGTTAAGAGTACTTTCACGTTCATCATTTGCACCTGAAAAGCCTCCTCGCCCCCTTGCTCTTCCAATTGCATCAATCTCATCAATGAAAATTATACTAGGTGCACATTGTCTGGCTTCTGCAAACAAGTTCCTTACCCTGGATGGTCCAACCCCAACAAACATCTCCATAAAGTCTGAACCAGATATAGACAGAAAAGGTACACCAGATTCACCAGCTGTTGCTTTTGCAAGAAGTGTCTTCCCAGTACCAGGAGGGCCTACAAGAAGAGCACCTTTCGGAATTTTAGCTCCCAACTCCTCATATTTCTTAGGGTTCTTGAGGAAGTGCACAAACTCCATGATTTCTTGCTTTGCTTCATCACAGCCGGCAACATCCTTGAAGAACACCTGGACCACTCAATAAGGAAAAAAAACATCAAATACATGAAAAAGTATCATGCCAGAGAATGTCATTGAATATTTTAACATTTTTTTCTTTAATAGAGAGGAAATGGTAATGAATTGATCAATGGTGCAAATATTGAAAAGAGTGAAGAGCAATTTTAACCATATGCTACAAGCAGGAAAATAGAAATAATCATCCTTATTCAGATTTTTAGAGAATCTAGTATGATCCAAGGATACAAAAGGAATTTCTAACCTTATTTTTGGCATTCTTATCCATCTTAGTGATATGAGCTTTTCCAATATTAAATATGCCACGGCTACCCCTTCCACCACTGCCACCAATGCCAAATCCACCCTGCATTCTTCGCCCCATGTACAAAAGAGATCCCAGAACCAAAGCTGTTGGCAAAAACCTCATCAATTCTTGATGCCAAACCATTTCAGAAACATAAGTTACAGGAACATAATCATGAGGATCTATCCCTAATGCTTCCTGGGCTTCCTCCAACTTCTCTTCAAATGATTCAACACTGCCAATGTTAAAATAATATTTATATTGGCTTCCATTTCCTCTAGCAGGAGTATTATTAACGGGTCCCTGAACAACATCTTCATTGGTTTGACTGGAAGTGTGTGGAGACCTTCGGACATAAACCTTTGCAACTGATTTATTGGAAACAACAATATGATCAACTAGACCAGGTTCCAGAAGCTTGTTTTTGAATTCTTGGAAGCTAATCTGTAACAATAAAATTCCATTGTAAATGCCATCAGAAGTGAAAATAACAACTCCCATTGCACATTTGAAAGTTTGAAAAAGATAGAACAATTAAACAAGAAAAATGCACACGACCATCATATAAATTATGCCCTCTCGTTAACAAATAAAATTTCTTGAGACAAGTGTAAGAAACTAAACATTCTTAATTTCTAATAACAAAAGCAGGTAATAGTTGAACCAATTCCTCACAATGCATGCACATGACAATGTGAAGCCAAAATTTTGACCTACTAACAATTATGGAAGTATATGTTGAAGGGTACAGAACATCTAATAACAAAAGCAAGTGCAAGTGATTAGTGTCAAAATCCATCTAGGGTACAGAACATCCCATTAAGAGAACCCCCTAAATTGGAGCAGAAATCAGATAACACCCAGCAAGGATATTCAGGGAGATGCGACAAAGAACCGGAATTGGAATCCAATATATGTTAACAAAGCCACATGCCAGCCTTGAGATGAACTATCAAATTATCTTTAGGGAACTGGAACCTAAATCAGTAATAAACCTCTTTAGAACAGTGCTCAACTGGACTAAACTGGACTAAACTGGACAGGGCAGTTAAACTATTAGAGCCATCAATGGTTCCCAAGAGGTTTTGGTCAACAGCCAAACAAATTGAACTAAATACAAAATATATTTAAAGTGGCCTATTATTCCGATTTTTAGTTCTTCTTACTCATTTTTAATTCTATATAATATGTATGTATGTACATATGTGCTATAGCAGATGAAATCACAGTTTATGGGCTAATCAAAGCCGTACAGCAAGAATTTTTAAGCTGTGAACCCTAGTTTAGCTTACAGTTGAGCAACTTTATCTCACCAGCTCCAGGATTTTAGTATAAAACCTATAAATCAGTTACAGGTGAAATTTGGGATATGATGAAACTCTGAAGAGGTTTGGAGTATTTATATGTACAAACTTGCTAATAGTGAGCAATCATTATTTGCATACTAAAACCACAGCTTTATCTACTCCTACATTTGCACCAAAAGCAAGAAATAATAGAGTAAAGCCACATATCATTAAATAGGGGGAGGGGGGAGGCTCAGTGGTAATGCATTTGTATCTTAGATTGTACTCCTTTCTATTTATTGGTGGCTGTTAACTTTTATTAGATAAGAAAAAATAAATGTATATTGTGCCTAGCACTGTTATTTTGGTGTTCCATATGTACTGTTTTTTTTTAAGTTAACTATATTGAATAATCAAAAGTATATGGTCCCCTGTAAAATGAGTTCCTATACACGTGTAAGCCATGCAAGGACCTCAAAAAAAGTCCACCTTCAAAAAAGAAACAGAAAAGGTATTATCTTTAAATACATTATGAACAGCCAACCAATCCCTAACTGTTGAAACCACCTCAGCTTTAGTCATAGATTTCTGATCAAAGATTCTATTATTTCTCTCAAACCATATAGACCACAGGATTGCAAATGGGATACAAGACCAGCACACTTTCCCCTTTTTTAGTTATCCCAGAGATTTTCCATTCTTCAAAAAGTGCTTTTACAGGCTGGGAAGCACCAGTTTAGATTAATTGCCATAGCGAACTTGCAATGCAAAAATAGGTGGTTTGAGGTCTCTGTTGCCTGATTGCATAAGAAGCACCTTAAATCTGAAAAGATAAAGCCCTTTTTCATGAGCACCTCTTTAGTAAGGCACTTCCCCGGGAAACCACCCAACCAAAAAGCTTTACTTCTGAAGAGGCTGCAGATCCCCATATTGATTTGCTTGGAAACTGACCTTGAGGATCACCAATTAGCCCTTCATAAAAAGATTTAACAGTGAAGTCACCTGCCCACTTCCAGCATCTCATATCCTAAGCATGCAGGTCCAGAAGATGAATCTGAAGCATAGCTAGGAGCTCAGCCACCGTTTCAATTTCCCAGTCATAAAAGCTTCTTCTGAAAGAGGGTTTCCAAGTGATCTTATTGCCTTCCACAACAAATGATTCAGCAACCAAGGCCTGCTTGTTTTCGGCCACCATATAAAGGGCAGGAAATAAGTCTTTAGTGCTCTGTCTCCACACCAAGGGTCAAGTCAAAACCTTGGCCTCCTTCCATCATCTAACTTATACTTTATGCCTCTGCTGAACTTAGGAAAAACTTTGAAAATTCCTTTCCACATGCCACATCCATACAGCAATTGAGGCCTCTATCCCAACCATTGCTGTTTACCCCATATTTCTCTGCAATTACTTTCCCCCATAAACTGTTGGGTTCCCTCGAGAACCTCATAGCCCCATTGCCCAGCTAAGGCATCATTGAAAATTTTAACTTGTCTGATTCCTAGACCCCCATGAGAACAAGGCTCTCAAACCTGTTCCCAGTTGACCAGATAAAATTTGGAAGATTCCCTCCATCCAAGCCACAAGAAACCCCTCATCTTTTTTCCTATTTTTCTGGCCATTCCCAAGGGAATTGGTACAGGGACATGTAATAAGCAGGAAGACTTGTCAAAATACTTTTGATGAGTGTGACCTTCTCCCCTTTTGAGAGGTACCAAGCTTTCTAAGCAACCATCTTTGTGTCCATCCTCTCTAAGATTGGACCCCAAATGGCCTTTGTGGTACATTTACTTCTGTGGGGCAACCCCAAATACTTTAAAGGGAAGCTGTCAACCTTGCACCCTAGTAATTCAGCCAGCTTAAACATTAGGGACCTCCCCAACTGCTAACATCTCACTTTTGGATAAATTAACTTTCAAACTTGACACTATCTCAAACCAGCATAGGATGTGTCTCAGATTAAGCACATATTCTGAAGATGCATTGCAGAAGAAAAATGTACCATTTGCAAACTGTAATAAAGGAATTTTAGTGCCATTGCTGCAGCTTTCAAAACCCTCCCAACCCAAAAGAAGGAACTTTGGTTCCATATGTACAATTTACATCCTGTTCCTGTTCTGCATTACCACTTGGCCCAAAAGAAGTTGTCCCATGTTCCCCCTTGATTAACTAATGAGTCCACCAAACAGTTTGCACTTTGCAGATCTATTTATCCAAGTAGAGTAGCCTCAAGCCCCTTAACAAGAAGCTGACATCTATCATAGTATGCCGGTGCTGCTACATCCCTTGACTTTTGCTCCTCATCCGAGATATCACTACCTACGAATCCCCTCCAATCCTCTATTATGATCTTTCTCAGCCCAAGGAGCCTCCCCAACCTTAGTCCTTGCAATACAGCCGGCAGTTCTTCACTCAACAAATCAGAAACTCCAATAAGCCCAGAGAGGACAGCAATGAGGCTTCCACTAGCATCTCTAAACATCCCTCACACCTGATATCCCAGGATTCCCAGAACTTCCCCATAGCCTATTTTCTGTCTAGCTCTTCCTCTCATATCCCTTGGGACTTTGGTTTTTGCAAAGGTCTCAAGGACCATGAGATTTTTTAGGCTATTTCTTTGCTGGAGTCATGAAATGGTCTGTTTTTGGATCATAATAACTCTGATGGGAGGATTTGGACTGTGGACCACCTTGGAAAATTTTCTTGTGCTTCTTTCTTCAAGGCCTTAATTCTCGCTGGCCAACACCCTCAAACATTTCTTGTCTAAGCAACTTTTTGTCAAGCACTATCCTCCATAAAATTAGAATGTTCTGTTGGAAGATAACCTATTTAAAGATCAATACCTATTAGATTCTCCAAAACAGAAGGCTGATTTGGACATTATCACCAAATATGCACTTCCTCCATAAGGCAAGCTATGAAACCACATTCAGCCTACTAATCTCCTGTCCTTTCATGAAGAAAGTTTGGGAGAACATTTTTGCTTTATTTGATGTTAAGTGGAGTTCCCCAACAGATATTGATACTGTATTTTGCATTAGTTTATTCTCTCCCAGAATGAAAAGATGTAAAATCCTATGGACAAACAAGAGCAGCCATTGTTTGGACAGATGGGAAGAACAGAAAGTTAGAATTTTCTTAGACAAAAAACAATCCAAAGAGTCAGAAACACAATAGTAGGTCTGATAGAGATCAAAGTCATTCAGTGGGTGAAAACCAGGAAAGAATTTTCCGCTAGCCCTACAAATGATATTAGTCAAAAGATGACTAACACTGGCAGCCTGAGCTATTGATAGCCAAGCCTGTCATGGATTCCCCCTCCACTGGACAGAGAGGAGTTGAATGTTGATAGCTGTAGCCTTGGGAAAAGTGGGCATTCAGGTAATAGGTGGTTTATTTGGAGATCATAATGAGGATAGCAAAGTGGATTTTTGTGGACCAATAGGAATTAGCAATTCCATACAAGCAGAATTACAACCTGTACTTTGAGGTTCAAGCCTAGCTACTTCCTTTGGTTTCTAGAGTTCAATCATTGAAGGGACTCAAAGTCTACGACTCTAGGGTTAGAGGGTGAAATGGATGGACATTGGAGACTAAGATATAAGATCAGGGAGGCAAGGCCTTTGGCACTCAATTTGGGTGCAGATTTGGTATGAACACCAAGATATGCTAACTCATTTGCTGATTCACTAGCCCATGAAACTGTTAGCATATTGTCATGGGGTTAGGTTTGCAACGAAAGAAACCTGTGTGGCGTCCAGGCCATGTGCGGCCAGGACAAGCCTGATGTATGTGTAAGGGCCATGTGTCGGCCCGATGATGGCTCCACCAAGGTCAGTGGCACTGGATCATGACCTCGTAGCGCATTGCCAGGGCTCTCTGTGGCTCTTGTTAGTCCATAGGAGGCACCTCTTATGTGCCAAAGGGGGAATGCCATGATGTGAGGCACCTGTTGTACCGATGATGTGAGAAAATAACTGGGCCTTGAACACACTCGTGCACTATGAGCAATGGGGTAGCTCGATTAGCTTAGACGTGGGGCTGGAGTGGTGTAGGGACATGTTTTGGGCCAGACCCACATGAAAAGCCTCCCCTTCATGTGCATTGCACAGTGCCGGTCCATGCAATGTCCCCATGAGCGTGTGTGTGCCCATGAGGAACCCTAGTAGCCATGCTAGCCATTAACCAGGGTCATCCCGCAAAGGATGTTGGTCTAGGAGTGCCAAGGTCAGGCACCCAAGGAGGTCAACCACCCCTCCTCAAAGAGTATGTTAAACTTTTGGTGGTCTTCTAGTAGGAAACATCACTTCTCCGAAAAATCATACTAGAGATATTTACAATAATGCCATTTAACGTAAGCCTACCAAGCATAGGTAAGGCTAAGCCTGTGTCAGACTGTGTTAAGCTCCCCCACTCAATCCGTTGTCATCTCGACAACGGCTCCTTAGTGAATGGGCGTCTATGTCCCGCTCCATCCACGTGCGCTCCAGTTTAGCTGCTCATTGTTGTAGTTAGGGCCGCCTGATTAACTCGGGTCTCGCCTATGTTGGTGTCCATTTATGGGGATGGAACCATTTCACCATGCCGGCCCGTCGCCTGCCTAGACTTCACCCACTGTGTTTAGCTACTCACACCATGCAATGGCTATGCCCTCGATGTGTGTGTATGGCCCTCAAAGATGTGTGTGTGTTGCTTCACAAAGGTCCACCCCGTGTTCTCTTTACCTTAAGGCTCGAATGTCTTCTTGGTAGCTTTTCGGTGGTGCTACCAAACACGATGTATAGGTCTTCTCCTGCTATTGGCATAGTGTCCTAGGAAACCCTTTCACCATACTGGCCTACAGACTTTACCTTGCCGTGTTCGGGTTACTCAAACCTATCCATGGATTATGCTCTTTTGGCCCTCGAAACTACACTTCACCTCACTATGTTCGGGCTACCTCTTTGCTTCGAGGGGGTCCCGATGTTTTTTGCCTCAAGGATCCGACCGCAATGTGTGCGAGTGGTGGCAACTTTTACCCATGATGTTGTCGAACATGCACCCGCTTGTGTGATGTGTGTGGTTGTTGCAAATGTTCTACCGATGTTGTGTTGAGCATGTCCTCCTATGCAATGCTAGTGTTGTGCCACCATTCTCCAATGGCAAGTGTACCCACATTCCTAACATTCCAAATATTGTGGCTTCAACCGAGGGCCGCCACTTCAGTGATATTCCTTGACCAACCATCGACGCCAACCAATTTCGGATTGTTGTCCCCACCTTAGTAGTGCCTTTGAAAAACTACGAAACAATGGCCCATCCATCATGAAACCAAGATGTAGGCATACCACCCACACCTCACTAAAATGAAAGCGACTGATGTCCGTAAAGAAGCATGGCACTCCCCCACTCAAACCACCACAATATTACTTGCATCTACCCCCGCATGAGAGCTGCTTCGGGATCATTGAAATGGGGACGCAATGATTGGCCTCTTGCCAAGCTTGATGTGTGTTGCTTGCTCAATCCTGTCAAGTGGGCGTGTTGAGGGACTGCACCCTGCAATGTGGCTGATTGTCGTGAGGACCGCTTCAACTGGCTCGACTGTGTGCTATGATACCGACTGTCATGGGGTTAGGTTTGCAGCGGAAGAAACATGTGTGGCGCCCAGGCCATGTGCAGCCAGGACAAGCATAATGTGTGTGTAAGGGCCATGTGTTGGCCCAATGATGGCTCCACCAATGTCAGTGGCACTGGATCATGAACTCGCAGCGCATGGTCGAGGCTCTTTGTGGCTCTTTCCGATCCATGGGAGGCACCTTTTACATGCTAAAGGGGGAATGCCATGATGTGAGGCAACCGTTGGGCCTTGAACACACCCGCCTGTTGTGAGCAACGGGGTAGCTCAATTAGCTTAGACGGGGCTGGCGTGGTGTAGGGGCATGCTTGGGCCAAACCCACATGGAAAGCCTCCCCTTCATGTATGTTGTGTAGTGCTGGTCCATGCACTATCCCCATGAGCGTGTGTGTGCCCATGAGGAACCCTGATAGCCATGCTAGCCATTAACTAGGGCTGCCCCACAAGGGATGTTGGTCTAGGAGTGCCAAGGTCAGGTACCCAAGGAGGTCGGCCACCCCTCCTCAAAGAGTATGTTACGATTTTGGTGGTCTACTAGTAGGAAACGTCACTTCTCCGAAAAATCATACTGGAGATATTTACGATAGTGCCACTTAACGTAAGCCTACCAAGCATAGGTAATGCTACGCCTATGTCAGACTGTGTCAAGATGGACCTTCGTATGGGGTAATTGCCTGTTGAATTGAGAGATCAGCATACAGCCATTATAAGGGTAGGGTCCTAAAGGGACTATAGTCTATAAGGGAACAGCATGGACTGTCTCCATGAACTATCCTTACATCATATTAGTCTATACACCTTTTGGATATCATTAACAAAGCATCATCAGTTAATGATAAAAAAGATAACAATCACCAATTCCATACCACTGGATTATTCAGAAATTGAAACACTAGACTTGGACCAGTGAACTTAATAGCCTATGTAGGACAAATCTGAAAGATGTATTCCAGAATTATAGATGATATTTTATATTTAAGGCAAATATAATAAAGAAAAGATCTTAGTGTGGTAAGAAAGCAATATCTTGTTGTTGATTGTACTACCACTCCAAAACTTTTTTTAGGAGAGAGAAAAAAAAGAACAAATTGATTGCATTTGTAACACCAAGCAAAGACCTAAATAAGCAGCTAAAGATTCTTCACTCTCTTTGATAATAAAGGTAATCCTTTTTCTTCTTAACAAATTTACTTTTTTTATTTATTACCAAAAAAAGATAATGAAGGGAATGACAATATCACAATACTTTATTTTCATAAGTTGATGGAAAAAGGAACTTGCTAAAAACCACACAGTGAACTACAGAGTATGAGCCCAAGACCTAAATTCACTTTTTTATGCAACGAAACTAAACAGTAACAATAGATCGGATATTTATAGCATGATAAATGAAGGCAAGATAATGGCTTTGTTTTCAGGTCCAATAGGAGTTGGAGATTCCTTAAGAGCGGAAATTTTGGCACTACATCAAGGTGTAAAACTGGCCAAACAGTTGGGGCTACAGCAGATTGAGATAGAGGGAGACTCCAAGTTGGTAATTGGGTGGATGCAATCAGGGCAGCTGGGAATTTGGCAATATAGACAGCTGATAAGGGAAATTCTTAGCATAACAAGGGAGGTGGGTGTTTGGTTCAAGTGGGTAAGGAGATCAGCAAATGGTTTTGCTGACACCCTAGCAAAACAAGGGATTGCAAGAGAGTCTTTTTTGGGCAGTGCTGTAATGTTTGATGTTTATTGGATCAACCATTTCTAATAAGGGTTGAATTCTGTATTCAGGTTAATTTATCTCTAATGAAAGTTATCGTAAAAAAAAATAGTATGATAAAACTAACCTGCTTTTGGTCATGAGGACCAAAAGAGAAGGATGAAAGCAACAATGCAATAAAAATTAGAGGAGTCAAATAATTCTGCAATTGCTTCATGAAATTTTCCTGAAAATTCCCCTGATCTTCGGTGTTTGACTCCTCTGGAAAACAGTAAGGGAATTGTCAAATTGCGAAAATTTACATAGCCTTGTTTAGAATGTAAGAATAAACAGATGAAGATTTAAAGAATATACAAAACATATTGCATTTAGTCATTAAAATATTTCATATAATGTAAAATGTGTTAGCTAATGCATAATATCATCCAAATTGCTTAAAGCAGCTTCAGAGTAAAAGTGCCCCTAGTTCAAGTTTGTTTTACAAGTCAATATGGCAAAGGTTGGAGGGAATTAAGAACCCTCCACAAGCAGTGGATGGCTTCTTGCTCACCATGATTCTTCACCCAGGCCTAAGTTTAGCAGAGATGGGCCGCATAGCCCTCCCATGGAGAGAGGTGAATCCAACCCAGAGGAGGTCTTGGTGCAGGAGGCTGGGATGGACTCGCAAGAGAAAGAAGGGTGTGTTGAGCAAGAAACTGTTGAAAGTCAAGTGAAGAACTTATTCAACTTTGGGAAGCTTCTGGGGGTATCCTTCTCTGCGGAGCAAGAGCCTCAGTTGCGAGATTAGATCAGCTCCTCTTTCGTCCGCGATGTGAATGATCATAACCCTTAGTTTGCAAGGAGCTCGGAACCCTTCCTTCTACACTGTCAGTATCTTGATGCCTAAGTGCCTAATTAATTTATTAAAAAAAAAAGAATATGTAAATACTATGTAAGAAAATATGGGAGAGTTCAGCCATCTCTTTCTTAATTTGAAATACTTACAGCTTACTGCATTAGTGCAATGTGTATTGTATTAGTTTTTGTACTTATTAAAATGTTGATTTTTTTTTTGAAAAATGATTTGTGGAGCTTCCTGCCATGTGTGATTGCAAAAAAAGTCACTAAAATGAAAAGGAGTAAAGTTTGGAGCTTAAAACAACATCTGCAGAAAACACAGTAGCATATAGCATATTCAAAGACGATATAATTCCATTAGGATGGGATGAAGGAAAAAGGAGTAGGGATTGCTGTATTGAGTGTCCATCATGGATGTCTTAAGGATATAATTCCATAATTCCAAGCAGCTTATTTTTCATTACTGGTCCCTAACCACCACCACCACCACCCTTGAAGGGAGTAAAGAAAAAAAAAAAGATGTTGCAAGCTATTTTCACTCTGTTATTTATGGTGATTAATTTTGTTGTCTTTTGCATGGGAGAGCTTCATGGCCACTGGTGTACCATCCTTTATGGTCCTTCATGTTTCCATATACAGATTATTATTATTTACTTATCAGAAAATATCTTTTCAATAAAGTTTTATTGGTACTGGTGATAGAAAAACTGCCATGTTCTAACCGTTATATCCTACATGTTTACATCAAAGTTATAAACAGAAAGCTGCCCTACATTATTCACAAATGGTTCAACTATATTCAGACTAATGCAGATATATTTCTATTTGGGAACCAAGATGACCAATTAAATTGAGACCTGGTTTTCTATTTTGTCATTTCTTCTTTTCTTTAAATTTTTTAAGGGGCACTTGTTTTAATACCCTCACTAGAATATGATTTATTTAGGTATTTAAAACCTGTTTAGAAATCCCATTGACTTTATTTTCCATCATGTGTACATTAAGGGATCAGTTTAGGTGGATTAGTTCATTTTCAAGTCAAACTTGATTATATAAACTTACATTTCTAGTGTACAACTGGTAAATTCTATTGTATTAAGCACATGTATGGTAGATATAGATTAAAAACCGGGTAAAATCACTCTTTTATGCATGTGCAAATTTTTAGAACCAAAATAACCTTGGTAGCTACAATACAATTTGTGATTCGATTCTACTCTATTCTATTCAACATTCTCTAGAATTTACAATTTTCAGAAAACCAATCTGGGTGGCCAGCTGCCAAAATACAAAGACGAACATAACAAAACCAACTATAGAAAACTTGACATTGGGCCCCAGCAATTAACTATAACAACACCATAGGAAATTCTAATTTTCACATGTTTCATAATTAAACTCTTCTATAGACAAATGAACAAAGAAAGAAAAGAAAAGAAAGTAAGAAACTATTTGAAACTCCGAAGCCATCATGGCACTTCGAAAAGAAAGTAAGAAACTCTGGTGTCTGATGGGCCATTCAAGTTTAAGCATCACAAATTTGACTCAAGTTCAAGACAATGTCAATAGTAGAAAATGGCAACAAGTTAACAATGATATTCCCATGACTGAGCAATAAATTATTCTCTCTGTGCAAAAATTGACAATTGTATTCCTCCCATCCAATACCCCAGCAAAGTAATAAGCCTATGAACGGTTTGCACATACCTTTTGACTCGGTTTTTTGATTGTTCCCTTTGGGAATTTCCTTTTTATCCTTCGGATAGAAGTTCTCGTAGTCTATAAAATCACAAAATTGAAAAAAAAAATGAGAATTAAATGCAAAAACGACATTCGGACAACAATAATCACGTTAAGATCAAACGAATAAAAAACGTAACGATTTTCTTACTTACTTTTCTTTTTTGGAACTTCATTGGAGAAAAAACGATGGAATCTGGGGTTCGCAAGAAGGAAATTAAAATCCAAAGAAGAGCTTCTTTTGGAACCAAATTCCTTGTTAGCTCCAAAAGAAGCCAAGTACCCCCTCAGAGACCCTAATCTGCTGTGCTCGCCCCCAAGGCAGGAGTCTCTATGTGGCGGAGATCGCAGAAGGGAATCGTTTAGAAGCGCAAACCTTCTGCCATAAGCACCCAAATATCCATTCTGCAAAACAACGCAACCACGGTTTAGCTTCAGAACAGAATAACTTTGATAAGAAAGAAAGAACTAAGAAGATATCTTACTCTTGAACCTGCCGACCGCGACAGGGAGCGTCTGAGCTTTGAAAAGATCATTCTTTTATAGATTGGAGCATGAATCTATGGATAATTTCGCAAGAAAGATACACTACAATGGTTGTTGATTTAGAGATCAGACTTCCAGACAAGTTTCATCTCAAACGAGCAAATACGATGGTCCAGTCTAGTTAAAAAAACAACGAGCAGTCCCACGGACGGAGGGGGAAGAGGAAGGAAAAATATCGGAAAGGAAAAAATATCGGAAAGGAAACTCCCAAGTCGGGTTGTTGTTGACGGACTCATGCCGGCTGGACCGGTGGGGGAACCGATCCACGGTTAATTTTAGGTCAAATTTCATTATTCTTTAGGCTTCGCTCACCTCTTTTTGACCATATATGGCATCTTCTTTCAGAAAGCTAAAATTCAAAAGCCTTTTGTTTCTTTTCCTCGTCCCCTTCACTTATTAGCAGACTATTATCTATGCTTACGAGGGGATTAATTTTATATTTTTTTATGTTTTTGGTGGTTTATTTTCTATTTTGGCAAAAACAAATTCATACAATTGTAAAATTTAGGCTAAAATGGTAAAATTTTCTTTATATTGAAGGGCTAAAACGGTTAGAGGTAGACAGAGAAATACTAGAATGAAATTAGTAAGAAACAATTTAAACACTAATACCATGGATATGGCTTTAAAGAGGATTCATGTAGCTGATTCCTTAAATTTGGAATAAGGCATGGATGATGATAATACCTATTTCTTATTAAATTGACGTTAGTTAAAGTTTATTTTAATAACATTCTTCTACTTGAATACAAATTTTAAAAGCAACAATATAAGTTAATTAATGAAAGCGAATTTTAATTTTCCATTATTTTTCCCAAAATTATAAACTTTCATTATATTATTTGTATTTCCAAATATTATTGATTAGTGAAAAACCTTGTATCCGGTATATCTAAACCTTATATTTACATGTTACACTATATATGCTTTTGGGAAGAATGTGTGTACCTTATATTTGCATGGTAACTATTTGCAAATAATGTAAAGGTCTGATCCTTTCCTTTTAACTTTTATCTCTTTAGAGAAATTTTTTAATTTTAAGAGAAAAATGGTTGTTCATTACCTCTTAACTCTTATCTCTTAAAGTGCATTCATCAAATTTTGTTTTCCAATGATACCCTCAAAAAGACAAACAAAAACTCTCAGATATGGGATCAACATGCATATTTGATACTTTTCAAAATTTAAAATTCAGAATTTAGAACAACATTCTCTGCATTCAAAGTTAGAGGAAAGAAAAGTTCACCAATACTAATATACCTCTTAATGTAATTATTGTACTTTCAGATGTCAGACTTCAGAGTAAACGAGTAGGCCTTAAATACATATCCCAAATTGAGATACAAAATAAATAACTTAGGGTCTATTTGGTTTGTAGTCGAAATTGAAATTGGAATTGGAATGGTCTATTCCCTATTTGGTCCAAACAGGAATGAGAATGGGAATGTGAATTAAAATCAGCAAGAATGGGATTTCATTCTCAAGGGAGGGGCAAGGAATGAGGGAATGCCATTCCAGCAACAATGGGAATGGGGTTCTGATTCCGTCCAACCAAATGGTTGCAATCAGAATAGCCCATTCCGATTTCGATTCCAAACCCCTATTCCCACAAATCAAACAAGGCCTTGGAATTTTCTTTTCAAGATATTCCATATAAAACCAAATCGATTTTGATGATTTACTGTTTGTTCCCTCCGACCGTTGTATGCTGCTTTGAGGAAAGTTCTTCCTCCTATTAAAAAATTATTACCATTTTTTTTTAAATAATGATTTCCTAATCCTAAAAAAATTAAAATAAATAAAACAAACTAGCAATTACTTTATACAACTCTAATGTGCACCTAAACAATAAGATGGTGTTTGGCTTTGTATATATGTATATATATACATCCTACTAAGTTGTTTTGGCATGAAACATGATATTGGATTTGGAGGTGCATCTTGGGTCAGGTTCAATTGGGAACTTGTTAAAGCCCCATTTGGCTTGTAGGAATAAGGGTTTGGAATCGGAATTGGAATGGACTATTCCAATTTCAACTGTTTGGTTGGGCAGAATCAGAATCCCATTTCCATTCCTACTGGAATGGCCATTCCCTATCCCTCCATTGGGAATGAAATCTCATTCCTAGTGATTCCAATTTTCATTCTCATGTTTATCTGAACTAAATAGACTATTCTGATTCCGATCACAAACCAAATGAACCTTAAATTTTCAATGAAATATTCTTCAAGGTGGACGGGCATTCAACTTACAGCCTTACAAAATTTAAAATATTTCATTATAATTTCAAACAAAAGTGTCATTAGGTGCCATATGTAATACATGGTAACTAGGTGATATCATTCAATTGCTGAGAGAAAATCCTTGAAAATACAACTAAGAAAATACAATCAGCATTGTTAGTTGAGCTAGGCGAGAATATGACTGATGAGCAATAGGAGAAAGAATGAAGTATGACTGATGTGCCATGGAGGATTTATTTATTTATTTTCTTTGAAGCCAATAAGACAAATTTCATTCATAAATGCTTGGATTACAAGCACAGACAATACAATCAGCGATCAATGGTAGACAACAAACTAAACATGCTGAACATAAAAAAAAGGTAATCCTGAGCAGGACATAAAAAAAAACAACTTTATTACCGAAGAATCCTTCACAAATGGAAAAAATACGTAAGATGCCACAAGGAGGGCTACCTATTAGATATAAGGTTATAGTGGTGCTGAGGTATTTAGATATACTAGTAAGCATGTAAGCATGTACATGCTTTGTACATAGTAACTCTAAATTATAATAATGATAGTAATAATGTATTAAAAAAATTTTATAAATATATTTTTCTCTTTTGTTTTTATATGCTTTTTTATTATTAAGCAGATTCATATTACAAAATCTAAATATGATACATAAACATCACATCTAAATATGAATGAAGTGAAAAGTAGTAGTTCAATTTACAATTTAAACCTCACAATTAAATGGAGATTAAATTAAAAATGAGTATTTCAGTCAAAAGAAAGTTTCACAATCTTATTTATATTTTTAATAGTAGTGTAAATATAGAATCATAGACATGTTCAATTTTTCTATATTTTTTTACATTTTTGTGTAAAAATAATTCCGATATGTCACACTTACTTTTTCTTTAATATGATAATTAATTAATATTATACATGTGCCTAAATGTTATTTTGCAACATTTATGTATGTATTTTTTCATTATTGTATTTTTATATTTTATTAATTTTTATTATTTATTTATGACATTAAATGTTAACACATTTGACACAAAAGTTGAATTATAGATTTTTGCCAAATAGTAAAAGAATTTCATTTTTGGTCAATTATAAAGTATGTATTTCATTTTCATTATTAATAAAAATAAATTTTTATTACACTTATTTTTTTAATTTGATTAATAAAAGTATCATAAATGTGTCTAATTTCTCTACATTTTTGTAATTTTATATATTTATTTCTATTCAAAAATTGTTATCCATTACTTGGATAAAGAATGTTTTTGTTTTTTAGTCAGTTTTAAAATATATGGGTTTATATTGTTAAAAATATTGACATATATCTATTTAACACCATTTATTAGTGAAAAATAACTTAAATATAGGATTTAATAAGAGAAAATGGGAGTTAATACCTTTAAGTATAAGACTTAATGAAAGAGGATTAAATGAGGTGGAAAGTAATAATTGAAGTTACATTTTCAATGCTTACAATTAGAGATATAATAAATAGGCAAATATGGGCATTTTACTAGCCATCAAAATTGGGCATTAAAACTGTAATAAAATGACTTTGGTACTCTTTATCAAACAAAGGAATAAAGGGTAATTTAGTCCAAAAAACTTCCGTTCTACATCTGCACTTTTATATATAATATAGATTTTTTTGTGTATTTATCAGAAAAATGTAAGATTTAAATAGAAGAAATTGAAAGAGGTAAAAAGTAATAGTTTAATTTACAATTTAAACCTTACAATTAAATAGGGACTAAATTAAAAATGAGCATTTTAGTCAATGTTTTCAAAATCGGACCAGATCAAATGGTCAAACCATTTTGGCATGGGAAGTGGTCAAGTCACCGGTTTTGTTTTGGCCTTGAACCACTATTTTACAATAAAAAAAAATACTATTGAAATGGTTGGGGAATTGTTGATCAAGAAGTTTAATTATTAAAATGTTCAACCCGGTTAACGGTCCTCGGGTTGCTTTCAAATCGATTCTAAAATTTTTATTTATTTTAAAAATAGAAATTAAAATATAAAAAATGACAAAAGAAACTTTCATATCTCAAAATCTTATTCGATTTTTCTCAATGGCCAAATTTAGTTAGGGTTTTTAGTTATTCCATTTTGATTTTGAGTTTTTTCATTTCCACAATTCCTTTGGGTTTATTTCCTCTTTGGGTGATGTTTTATCATCTTCTTAAGGTATTATTTTTTCAAATGAATTTCATCTTATTTTTCAAAACAAAAAAGATATCTTAGTGACCCATTGGTAGAGACGGGGCCAATTGTGCCAACCTGGTAAGCATCATCTAACTTGGTAAAACTTTACCATGATAGAATTAAAATGACAATTTGAAATATAAAGGCATGTAAAAGTCATAGAAAAGAAGCAATATTTTGTGACAATAAAGGAATATTTTGATTTATTTTTTAGACTAAGATAGAGGTTGTTTAGAGAAAAGATGATAAGATTTGCCATTCAGTTCTACGGGTATTAGTATGGGATCTATGACATCAAAGTTGGGCTTTTAGAATTATTTCCTCTTTTGGTGATGGTTTATCACTGTCCTAATGTATTTTTTTTCCTAATGAATTTTATCTTAATTTTCAACAAAAAAAAATCTCAATGGCCCTTGGCAAATATGGTTACTAAGATGGAGTTAAAATGATAATTTTTAATATAAAATACATCTGAAAGCCATTGCAAACAACCAATATCATTTGACATTAAAATAATACCTTGGTTTGTGTTATCGGACTATGATAAAGCTTGTTTGGAGAAAAGATTATCAGATTTTTCCATTCGGTTCTAGGGGTATTAGTATGGGATCAGTGGGATGATTGTGGGGCTCTTGGGTTTATTTCCTCTTTGGGTGATGCTTTATCACCTTCCTAAGGTATTATTTTTTCAAATGAATTTTATCATCTTTTTCAA